TGGAGGTCTGTATACAATACACACAAACCATGGTTGTGATTGCTTCAATTTGATCTCTATCCATAACACTTCTAGATTTCCCTGTTCAAGATCAGACCTTCTAGTGTAATAAATTGAGCCTTTGATATAACATCCAATTCCACCGCCACTAGCATTTCGATCTTTCCGTTCAAAAACATATCCATCTATATTCAACTGTTGTGTTTCAATAGTTTCATCAAGCCAGTTCTCTGACACAGTAAAAACATCAATCATATTATCGGATAAATAATGACAAATATGGTCCGACTTGTTTCGGAGACTTCTAACGTTTAAATGAGATATTACAAAGCCTTGCCAATTTTTTTATTTACTAACCCTTTCTCACAAAATATACTTCTTGCATCATTTACATGATTAATGTTTTCAGGTTCCTCAGCAGTGATTTCTGAATAAAACGGTAATTCATCAAAAGTACATTTATTACATATCCAATCAGATGAAGAGTAAAAAAAGTCTTCATCAAGAGAAGAACACGAATATATTACTTTTGTCTAATTTTGACCTTTCTTATGCTTAATTCTCACTTTAATGTTGTTACAATTTGAATATTTTTGATTTAAATTGTTTAAAATACTCATATTATCCCTCTTAATTATCAAAATAACAAATTTTTATCTCTTATAATTTAAGGAGAAAAACAACGACTAGACCAGAGACTACTCCTATCCGTGTCTCCTACTAACCACCTTGCACCGCACATAATTATTTGAGCCCAATATGTTTCGCTTTTTATAGTGAGTAATACATGAAGAAGAAGAGTGAGAAAGAAAAAAAGGGGGAAAAAAAAGAAATTAGAAGAGAGAACTGCCTATGTTAACGTTTAGAATCTTCATGTATATAATCTGTTTTTTATTGGTTTTCGGACAAAATTTTGAAGAAACGCGGTGGAGACGACTAGCCTATTGTCGGAGGGCCTAGGCTCAGCATTAGGCTGAGTTGAGAAGCTTGACACAATGTACCGTGTCCCATCTATCCAAGTCTATATATTACAAAAAGTAAATCTAATTTTAAAGGAATAAAAATCCTAAGAGAAGAGGCGTAAATATTCACTTCTAAATGACAAACGCCTATAAACTAAAACAACAACAACAACAAATCCTTGCGGAGACTACGATCAGCAGCCAAACGGAGTGCGTTCATATTGTTCAACCATAGACCTACCCGTATGCGTTATCGATATCAGTTTGGCTGCCAACTTTGGCTGCTAGCTTCCGCTTTAAACTCACATATTCCTGGTATGACGTGACGTGGGTATGACGTGAGTCGTAATTCGTAACTGCGCATACATTCGATGACAAACGGGGATTCCCCTTGTGTCTAGACAATTAGTCTGCAATTTTAGACTCATTTTATTTTTTTTAAATGAACAAAGTAAATATCTAGATCTATACGGATTGGAGCATTTCTCAGAGGTCAAGCAGTTGTGGCTAGGTTAAAATACTTAAAGTACATGTTTAAAGAAATGAAGACGTCCTTATGTTTTATAGCCCCAATTACGACCATCCAAAATGCTAGTCAGTTTTAAAGACAAATATAGGGCCCTTGGTTGCTAGACTATTACCGATGTTCCAAAAATTCCAGTTCGAACCAGTCACAATGTTTAATGTTTGAGGCCTGTGTTTTGGGAAGAATATTGTATTGAATATTTGACTGGGGAAAACGAAACCAATACTTATGGCTTTCTCATTATTTTAAAGCTTTTTTGTCTTCCCTGGGGCGGTGGGGGTAAGAAAGGGAAAGGGCAGAGTATTTTTAAATTACCTACGGTGACGCCCAGTAAGTCTAAAGACCTGCAAAATGCCATTCAACAGGTCTGTTCCTGATGGTAGCATACTGTTGTTGTTGTTGTCTTTATTTCCGTATAATAAAATCAGATAGAAATACATATAAAGTAATCACACAGAGTAAAGGGACCGTATACGGCTGGTAGCCCATTTTCAGCTGCAACTATATTGTTGCTGCTGGTCTTCCATGGGGCCAGTTTATACAATGTGGGGCCAGTTTATACAATAAAGCTCATCAATTCAATCCTTTATATACACAGGGTCAAAATTTAGTTCAAACATTTATTTTAGGTTCCAACGTATTACACTTCGGTTTCCAGTGGTCATTGAGTTTGGATTGCAAAACATTGACTGATGATGCCTCAACAATGTCAGCAGAAATGTCGTTCCAAAAATTAACTACATTGAGATAGTATAAAATGAAACTTTGAAAGTTTGTGGATATCAAACACCTTGATAAAGGATACATGGTATAAAATAATAGCTGTTATATACCTCACTTAAGAAATCCAGCCATTTGATTGGTCGAAATTGCATTCATAAACTTCAACTATTTCTGTAAAATTCCCAGTAACCATGGTTAAAACAGTTCTATAATCCCAGTAACCATGGTTATTAATAACAAATAAATAACATTTTACAAACTGGTATGATATGAGCTTTTTTTTTAAGATTCAAGATCTTAAACATTTATTTGGGACTATTTTCACCAAGAAAAATACAAATTATATAAAAATTACAGACAACATTTTACAAATTATACTAAAGTAATTTTACAAGCGCACATGTTATTTTTCTTTGCATAACAAAAACATTATTTATATTATCATTAATTAAGTTACAAGGACTTATAAGATTATGATACAATCTAAATCAAGAATAATATAACATTGTTGCTTTATATAATATTGTAAGATTGTAAGATTTTATTGACTCTATCGACCCCCTCTCGGGGTATGAAATTACAAACATATTTACAACACAGTATCAATATAACAATAGAATAACAATCAGGGCTCAAATTAATTTTGTGTCCACGGGGGCTCTTCCAAAAAAAAAGCGCCCCCGTGAGCCTTCTCACAGGGGTTCTTTTAGTGCTGACGGGGGCTCTTATTTTAATACAAATTTCCATTGAATTGGTACCCATGAAACTCCTAAATTCCTTGGTAATTCATCATTATCATTTAAAGTCAGCATTTTCCCTCTTAGAAATGCACTTGTTACATAGCTCTTATTGACTTTTATCCCCGTGATGACATTCTCTCCATTTCTTCCCGTTCTGCACATAATGTCCTCCTCATTATTCGGAGCAACCTTATTTACATTCTGTCTTTATTTTTAGTCTTTACCATATCCTTCCAAAACATAGGGGCGGATTTAGCTTTTTGCTAAGGGTGGGGGGTAACCCTAATACGATGTTGAGCATCGTCCACGAGCCGCGTAGCGGCGAGGCGATATTTGTTGCTGCTATTTTGAACCCCCGTTAGTGATGTTTTCCTGGCCTCTACTGACATCTACTAATGCTGTGTAGGTCTGGACACATGATAGCATTTTTCTATGCACATCACATTTTCACTTGGCAGCCCAAGGGAGGGGGGGGGGGGTTAAACCCCCTAAACCGCCTAGATACGCCCCTGCAACATCTTTGGTTATTTTCTTCTCAATATCAATACTGGTCGAGTTACATTATTTGCCGGTCTTTTAGAACAATCATATTTCAGAGGATTCTTTTCGCAACGAAAAACTTCTCCATGTTTCAGTCCTTGCGCGATCGTCTCCAGATCCAGCAGATTGGGCGTCAGCGTGCAAACTGGTACTACTGGCGCAGTATATCCTCTACTGACGGCCGCACTAGCTGCACTGCGATCTTCCGTTGTTTGTATCGGTAATACTCACAGAGATGGGAGAGAAAGCACCATTTAAGTTCCATTTCTTTGTTTAAGGTTTGCAAAGTGATACACAATATTGTGTTAAGTTATATCAGAAAGGAAAATCTTTATTTTATAATTCCACGGGGGCGATTTTTAATTTTGCAATCGCCCCCGTGAGCAACCTGACGGGGCGATTATGGAGCTCACGGGGGCGAATCGCCCACCGCCCCCGTGTATTTTGAGCGCTGATAACAATGATAAACATTGTGATAATATTAACAAATAAAGCTATTTACAAGTCAAGTGAAAATGAGCCTACTTACAACATAGTATCAATATAACAATAGTATAACAATGATAAACATGTGATAATATTAACAAATAAAGCTCTTTACAAGTCAAGTGAAAATGAGCCTACTTACAACATAGTATCAATATAACAATAGTATAACAATGATAAACATGTGATAATATTAACAAATAAAGCTCTTTACAAGTCAAGTGAAAATGGATCCACTAAAAAGCATGGTTTTGTAGAGTATTGACCCCTTTTAACATACTCTCCACCACTGTGGTCAATGTATTCTTCGAGGATTTTCTATTCCTCCCGTGTAGCCAACTGTGCCATATCATCATCTTGAAAAATAGATGCATTCATGATCAGAGCTGCTTTCGATAACATGACTTCCTTTTGAAAGGAAGTTGTATCATTTCTCGAAGCTTCATGATCAATGAGATATTCGCGACGTGCCTGTTATTGACAACTCAACTCTCAATTCATTTACTTTGCAAAAAGATCAAGTTTGCATTCACATCTGACAAACTAGTATGATATAAGTTTAGCATACTTTCCACCACTGTGGTCATGTATTCTTCGAGGATACCTACTCCTCCTGTGTAGCCAATTATGCCATATCATCACCCTGAAAAACATATGCATTCATGATCAGAGCTGCTTTCGGTGACATGACTTCCTTTTGAAAGGAAGTATCATTTCTCAAAGCTTCACGATCAATGGGATTTAAGTGCATAGAGATATTTATTTTAAAAGGGCTTTATAAAACATCATTGCAAATATCATTAATATTACTATAACTACATTACGTTGATCATTTCTTTTTTAAGTGCATAATATTCTTTCTTAATTTCAGTATTTTCTCTCTTAATTTCAGAAATTTCTCTCTTTCTGTCATAATTTTCGGATTTGAGTGACACAACATCTGTTTGAATGTTATTTGTATCCCTTTTCAACAGATTCATTGCTTTCAACATTTCATACGATTTCAACCTATTATTATTCACCTTACAGACTGACTGACAATTCTCTTTTTGATTTTATCGATTTCTGAGGTGTTTGAAATGGACCTCTTTGTGACTGCATTACGTTGATCATTTCTTTTCTAAGTGCAGACATTTCTCTCTTATTTTCAGCACTTTCTTTCTTTCTGTCATAATTTTCGGATTTGAGTGACACAACATCTGTTTGAATATTATTTTTATCCCTTTTCAACAGATTCATTGCTTTCACCATTTCAAAGGATTTCAACCGATTATGATTCACCCTTACGGACTGACTGATATTTCTCTTTTTTATATGATCAGTTTCTGAGGTGTTTGAAATGGACCTCTTTGTGACCTGAAATAACTCGTCAGTGGCTCGAGAATGAACTTCATCCTCCCCCTCTTCATTTTCTTCCTCCCGTTCCATACCCATGGCAGATGATTCCTGGGTACTGTTATCACCTCCTGCAGTAGGTCGATGTATAACCTTATCATCTAGGGAAGAGAGTCCATGGGACAGAGAAGAGAGTCCACGGGGCAGAGAAGTGTCCTCTTCATAGCTAACATCCTGGAAAGATGGATCGCCAGCGATATCTTCAGTGATCTGAGGAAGCATTTGGTCCAGGGCTTGAGGTCCATGACCAGCAGTCTCTTCAGTATTGATGTATTTGCGGGTTTGAGGAGGGCCGCCAAGGTTCTTGATGTCCAGTGGAGCTTGGTCTTGGGTAGGAGGTTCTCCTTCCAATTGAGGGTCACCGAGTACCCTGTCAGGTTCCCTGGATTAATGAAATTATTTTTAAAAGTTTATTAATAGGAAAGAAGAGTTTCATTCTAAAATTGACCCTATAGTAATGCTTAATTTATCATATTCATATCTATACGGATTTCTTCTTCCCTTTTCAGGAATGAAGTAGTGAAAATTGTTTCCTGCCTAAAAAATACAATATTTTTTACCTTACAAATCAAATTACATGACTGTTAAAGCTTTGTATTATAACGAAGTATATTCAAATTAATAAACACCAAATCAAATCAAAATCAAATCCCTTTCCTTCTTGACATGAGAACAGGTAACATGTTAATTAGAAATCAGTTCCTGTTTTCACATCTGATTTCACATGTAATTATCTTGAAGACGACGATTAAGGGCTACAGTCACGTTGTTATAGAGTTTAAATGTAGAAGAAAAACAGTTTTTTTTATAGTGTCATTTTTGTTAGTACATGTACTTTTGAAACGCATAACATCTGCTTCACTCTCTCGAGACCGACGACCCAAACAAATTCAGGAGAAAGAAACGCAAAAACAGCAACCAGCACCCCCCCCCCCCCCCCCCCCCCCCCCCACCCCCAGAAAAAAAGAGGCTATATTAATGTACATTAGTAGTTTATGATTGACTCAATTACTCAATTATTTTTGCCAACGATATTAGTCATACAACAGCTTATTTGTTTATTTGGTGACCATACAGAGCATATAGGTGATAAAATATTGTAGTATGCAAACATTATTTCTTCATCTTTTTCTCTCCAACAACCCCTCCCATTTGCAACAAATTCATTGACAGAATATATTCTGTTATTACCTATAACGTCGTTGGGTAACCTTATCATTTAGAGAAGAGAGGCTATGGGTCGGAGAAGGGTCCTTTTCCTCTTCCTCTTCATTGCTAACATCCTGAAGAGATGGGTTGTCACTTTGTGGAATGCACATATCAGCGATGTCTTCTATGATCTTAGGAACCATTTGGTCCAGGGCTTGAGTTCCAGGACCTGTCCCTTTGGGAGTAGATCCAGTAGTCTCGTCAGCATTCATGTCTGGGCGTGGTGGAGGAGGATCGCTATGGTTCTTGATGTCCAGCGGAGCCTGGTCTTGGATAGGAAGTTCTCCTTCCAATTGATGGTCATCGACCTTGTCAAGTTCCCTGGATGAATACAAATTAAAAATTAAAAATAGTTTAATAGGAAAGAAGAGTTTCATTCTAAAATTGACCCGATAGGAATGCTTAATGTATCATATTCATTTGGTGACCATACAAAGCTTATAGGTGATCAAATATTGTAGCATGCAAACATTATTTCTTTGTCTTTTTCTCTCCAACAACCCCTCCCATTCGCAACAAATTCATTGACATGACATAGTCTATGGGACTACACAAACATGTGGCATAAAATGTGGGCCTCATTTTTTAAGCTGTTACTTGTCATATTCAGAATATGAAGGCATTTGAAGAGCCATGCTTTTCAGAGAACATTTTTTCCCTGATGTTCTTCCACACTTGTATAATAACAATGATAAATCTAAAATAACCAAGTTTTTGGCAAATGTATACAACAATTGATTATTAAGCGATTGTAAGGCCCTATTAAGAAATGTACCTTGAATTCTCTGCAACACAACTGTTTGAGTGTTCATCCATTTTGTTCAATGAATGATTCATGGTAGTGCCAAGTTTTGCTTTGTATCCCTTTAGAGCACTGTAAAGAAAGAAAACGACAATTGGTCAAATATGAACAAAGAAACATAGAATATGACAGAACGGCCTATACAGATATCTTGAAATCTAAAATATGATTTGCAAACATAATTTCAGAGTCCATTGTGGCATGCTGAAGTTTGTTGTGCAGAATCTAAGTAATAATGGCTATTGCTTTAATCAGGGGGAGGCGGAGCGTCTTCCACAGTGGCGGGAGGCAACCAAAAAAGGTTTTTTTTTTGGTTTTTGGTTTTTGTTTAGTTAGGTCGCAGTGCAAAGATGACGTCTTATAAAGAGAATTAAACAAAAATTCTGATGAGCACAAGCTAATTATGAAAGACTGAAAAGACTTTTGTAAGTAACACAACTATGTTTATACATCTCAACTAAATGCGAGCGAGCTCTGGAAGTCTTAAAGAAAAAGGGGCTCCAAGTCGCTTTAATTTAATTTTTTTTTAAATGGAGAAAGGAATAGGGGGAACTTGTCAGAAGGGAAAGGACAGTAGAATAGAAAGAGTGGACGAGTCAAAGTAAAAGGGCAGTTATAAGAGGTGAAAATGAGGCGCTTCTAGCTCCAGAAAAGAGACACCCGCCAGAGATTTGTCAAAAAGAGGCATTTTAATAGGGGCATTTATCAGAGGTGAAATGGGCATTTTGAAAGGGGAAGGGGCTCATATAAAAAAAATAAAAAAGGACACTTATCCAAGGAAATAGGGCAATTATTAGAAATGAAACGGGGCACGTGTCAAAATAAAAGGGGCACTAATCAGAGGAAAAGTGCAATTATCGGAGGTAAAAAGGGGCATTTATGAGAAAGTCTTATCAGAAGGAAAAGGGCACTAGTATAAGAAAGGAAAAGGGGCACATGTCAACGTAAGAAGGGAAATTATCAGAGGTGAAAAGGGAAATTTCTGGCACCTGAAAAGAGGCACTCACCAGAGATTTTAAAAAGGCACTTATGAGAAAAGAAAATGCGCTTTTTATAAAGGAACAGGGGCATTTGTCACTTTAGACAGAACTCGGTTTGTTCGTTCATGCATTTGCGGTCCTTTCAATCGTAGGGAGTGGTCGATGGGCTTAAACCCTCACCGACCCAGTCCCAAACTTATTGATCATACATTAATTTAAGAGAGGCAAACAACCGAACCCCTTCACCCAGCTCCCCCCCCCCCACCCCCCCCCCCCCCCTCCACCCCAACCCCATTATTCTTCTATAACTGTGCCTGGTTTTTATACGGGCTCGTTATGTTTTGAAGGCCTCTATGTTTTGTGTTCTTAGAAGTTGGAGATTGACTTACATTTTGGAGGGCCTTAATTGTACACAGGGGCGTACGCAGGGGGGGGGGTTTGGGGGTTCAAACCCCCCTTTGGTATTTTTATGTGTGTAAACCCCCCTAAAAAAAACTAAACCCCCCCCCCCTTTTGGATTTTTTTTTTTTTTTTTAAATTATAAAAAATATGCCCACGGCTAACCTAAAAAAGGTAACCTTACCCCCCCCCCCCCCCCCCCCAACGAAGAAAAATGTCAAATTTTCAAATTTCGAGACCAAAAAAAAAAAAAGTGACCGCTTACCCCCCCCCCCCCCCCCCCCCCCCCCCCCCCCCCCCCCCCCCCCCCCCCCCCCCCACTGAGCGACTTTTCGGCCGGCGCGATTTTTAAATTTTTCGGGAGCAAATATTTTGGGCCCGATTTTAAAACCCCCCCCCCCTTGAAAAAATCCTGCGTACGCCCCTGATTGTACATTATTTTCTACCATCCAGTGGCGGATTTAGCTTTTTGCTAAGGGGTGGAGGTTGACCCAATGAGCATCGTCCACGAGCCACAAACCGGCTAGGCGATTCGTTGTTATTGCTATTTTGAGCATCATCCACGAGTCGCGTAGCGGCGAGGCGATTTTTGTTGTTGTTGGTTTTTTTTTTTTTTTTTTTTTTTGGGGGGGGGGGGGCTATTTTGAACCCCGTACAGGGGCGGATCTAGTTTTTTTTTTCGACGGTTTAATATTCATTCTATATTCATTAAATCTAACTATTCAGTCATTCATTTAATTTTTGTGCGAGTTACTAGACATAATATGGTGTTGCCCTTGGTTATATACCTTATTTAATATTTATTTTAATGATTTGCAATAGGAATTAGGAACAACTGTTACTGATCCAGTAGAATTAAATGGGACTATCGTGAATTGGTTGATGTACGCGGATGATATTGTACTAATATCCAAATTCCAAAACTAAAACGGAATGCAGACCTTGGTTTGATAGACTTGGGAATTACTGTAAGAAATGGTTACTCGAAGTAAATATTAAGAAAAGGAAAATGTTAATTTATAATAAGAATGGAAAGTTGTTGAAACAACATAGCTGTTATAAGACCGTGTCTAAACTTCCACGTTGTTATAATAACCACACAGGAGGCGTGACTTGAATTAGCTTCCCTTTAATAGTTGTGGCGCTGTAAAGCACATTCAACAATCGTGTGAATCCTTCAGTTTTTGCATATAAATGAAGAAAAAAACTAGGATCAACCAACATGGTTGATGTACCTTCGTACGGTCTTGTTTTGCGCTGTAGCGAAAGTGCTGATAGTCTCAGTTCAGGTAAAAAGGGTAATTATTCTGCCGCGTAACAAATACGGGAAAAAATAATGTCATGCCTTGACATCCCAACGCCCTAAGCGTGACGGAATGTCACAAAAAGTACAATCTAACATGATTTAAGACTAAATGGAACACTTATAAGATCAAAGAGAAATACAATGAAATCACTATCCTCTATAAATTGCCCATTAATAGCAATTTTTCTTCAAGCTGTTCAAATGTCCAGTAATCAACAATTCTTGAACCTTTAAATGTCTGGATTTTTCTTCAAGCTGTTTAAATGTCTGAACGTTCATCTCGCTTCATCAGGGATACAAGTTTTGTGATCGGCCTGGTGGCACGGGTCCCATCTGCGTATTTCACTTCGACGACTCTAACAAGGCCATCCTGTCCAGGCTGAGTCCCGACTACCTCGGCCATCTTCCACGACCCGCGTTTTCTGTCATCACCGATGACGAGGACGATATCGTTCTCTTCCACGTTGTCTGAAGATCGTTGCCACTTCTGACGTGGTGCCAACTTGTGGGTGTACTCCATCCATCTACGCCAAAAACCCTCCACCATTGTATTACACAGTTCACGGCGTTTCCGTAGATCTCCTTTGTAGTCCTCACAAGGAATATCAGGGCAGTTCAGATCTCCTCTCCCAATGAGAAAGTGATTGGGAGTCAGCGGTGGATGATCGAGAGGCGACGATGACATCGCAGTCAGGGGACGGCTGTTGATGAGCCCTGAAATCTTGCAGAAAACAGTCTCCCATTCTACGAAGGTAAGACGGTCAGCCTTCACAAGGTGCCTCATAGCTTTCTTTACTTCTTGGACCATGCGCTCTACTGCCCCTTGGTGGTGGGGTCCTCCCGGTGGTCCGAACTTCCACTCAACCTTATAACGTTGACAGTGCTCCCGGACCTGCGTTTGGTTCAGCTTAAGGTTCAGCTCATTGATCGTGTTGTCAGCCCCTCGGAAACAAGTAGCATTGTCACTAACCATCATGGCTGGTGCTCCTCTAATACTGACAAACCTTTCTAAGGCTTGAAGGAATGCCTGAGTTGATAGGTCTTGGACTACTGTCAGGTGGACAGCCCAGGTAACCGCACATGTGAATAAGGCACCATATCCCTTGGTCGTGGTATTACGATTCAGTTTCACCATTACTGGGCCTAGGTAGTCCACCAAGGTAGTCTTGAAGGGTGGCGAGCATGGGCTGACCCGAAACTCTGGTAAATCAGCCATCCTCTGGTGCGTCGGTTTGCCTCTATGTCGTCTGCAAGTGATGCAACAGCGTACAACACGTCGTGCAATTTTCATGTCCCCCACTATCCAGTACTTCTTCCGAACCTCATTTGCTGTCCGCAAATGACCACCATGAAGGGCATGTAGATGTCTATCGCATACCAGGAGGAAGCTGATATGACTCTTCTTCGGAAGAAGATATGGATGGCGAATGTCATACGACGGCGGTGCTCTACCTAGACGTCCACCAACACGGTACACTTCACTGTCCTCATCGAAGAATGGGTCCAGCTTCTGTATATTGGAATCTTGGAAGTTTATCTCCTTCTGAGCTTGTCTGACCCAATACAGTTCTGCCTCTTTGATTCGTTCGTTCGTGTCTTCTTAGATCAAGGTTACTGTAATCTTGATCTTTGGAGTAGTTGCTACAACCAGCCGTGTCAGACACGTTGCCCCGGGGTGCGAGATAGGACTCTTGTAGCGTGCCCCCATTTAAAACAATTATACAGTTACAGTTAACAATACATTCAATTAATAGTATGAAACTATTAAAATTACTCTCATGTTACGGGAAAAAATATTGCATATACATATATTATGAATCAATTGATTTGGTCGATCCAGTTCGATGGCACAAACACGGCACTACTGGACAGAGATCCTAATAATTACAGAGCTTGGTCTTGTTGCTCTGTTCGCCAGCAGTTTAAGGATATGGAATCCCGCGGCACATTACTCACAAGAGTTCTAACAAGCCAAGCTTATACAGAGCCTATAATAAGTAATGTCGTACATGTACCACCCACCCGATCGATCAAAAACTCATAACTCATAACTGAAAAAAAAGAGAAAAAAAAAGAAGACATTAGTAATACTTTTACTAATTCTAAGCTCAGGTTTCGTACATCTATTCACGAAACTATATTGAAATTCGAGGCAATAATGATGCAAACCAACAGATAACAATTTCAAAGTGTCAAATCTCTTCTACTCGAGCTCAGCTAGCTCAGCTCAGCTCAACTCACACACACACACTCTTTGATCATTCTTTGGGATGGCCATTCAGAGATCTGCCGGAGGAATTGCTTCAGCCATTGATTCCGGGGAAGCTCCTTGAGGGATAACACCCTCGCCGTGACCATCTGTAGCTTTGACCAGCTGGAGAACTTGGTAGCATCAACAATCGGGGAGTTCTTGGACACAGCATTCACAGTTACTGAGAGGGTCTTGGTGTTTCGGGAGTGAAACTTCTTCCGTTCAGGATCTCCCGGTTTGACAGGAACATTTTCTGGTGTCCTCGGCCAAGAATGAGGAGGTAGTCTCAAGTACTTTGGGCCCTTGATGACCTCCTGCATGTCTGTAACAACGCCTCCTCTGGAAATGAGATCAACAGCATTTTGATCCGAGGGAACGTAGGCGATATCCCTGTAGGGGTCAAATTCAGATGTGATCTCACCGACTCTATGTGCGACGTAAGATCGGAAGGTCTTAGACTGCCCTCTAAGCCAACTAATCGCTGTCATGCTGTCTGTCCACATCTTCCATCCGACTATGCTGAAGCGTAGAGCATCTATGATGGTGATCATCAGTCTGGATAGAAGGAGAAGAGCTTGTAGCTCCTTCCGAGGCATGCTTGTCTGTTTCAGAGGTGTCACTCTAGATCTGGCACAGACGAAGGATAGATGAGCTTCTTGGCTGTCAGCATGTGACCATCTCAGCCACACTGCAAAACCCATGGCGTCCTCTGAAGCATCACTGACACCATGCATGGACACCATGGGTAGGGGTCTCGTTCCCCTATAAGGCTCTGGTATCAGACATCTTGGGATCTCAATGCCGTCCATCTCATTAAGGTCTCTGTTGATCTTACTCATCATGGAGTAGAGCTCACTGCCTTGGTCAAGAGGGAAGTCCCAGTCAAGGTCCAGCTGCCACAACCTTTGAAGAAGAATCTTGGGGCGTACCAACAGTCCGGAAAGCATTCCAAAAACATTGTAATAGGATGCCGTTTGAGCAAGAATCTTCCGCTTGGTGAGGGTAGTATCCTCGAAGGGTTTGACCTTCTTCACTCTCAGTGTGTCCTTAGATAGATCCCAGCTGGTACCTAGGACAGTAGCAGTGTCTGTGTTTTCTGTCTCATCACAGACCTTCTTGACATTAGACTGCCACTTCCTTAAGTTGAAGTTTCCTTTCTTCAATGTCTCTGTCAGCTTGGACTTCAACTCTAGAGCTTCCTCAGCATTACTAACTGACTCGTTCAGGTCGTCCATATAGAATTGCTCGACGATCACTTTCTGTATCTTGTCATCATCTGGTGCATGCTCACGGGTCACATGTCTGAGGGTGATGATTGCTGCGGTTGGAGAGGGTTTATCCCCGAAAGTGACTGTTGTAAGCTCAAAGACTTGTATGGGATGGTTTGGATTCTCTCTGAAAACGAACCTGTGGAACCGAGCATCCTCTGGTGAAATCTTAATAGCCTGGAACATCTTGGATATGTCTGCGATCATGCCCACTTCATTTTCACGGAACCGGAGTGCTACCTCAAGAAGATTCGCGTTAACATTCTCTCCTTTGATGAGACAGTCATTCAGGGAACGCCCTTGGAACTTCGCCTTACCATCGTAAACTACCCGGACTGGAGTTGTTTTTGAGTCTTTAACAACCCCAAAGTGTGGAAGAAACCACATCCTTCTGCCTACATCCCTGTCTTGTTGCAACTCGTCCTGTGTAACCTGCCGGGAGACACCCCTTTCCAATTGGTCTCTCATTTGCCGGCAATAGACTTCCCACTCATTAGGCCGGTCTCGGAACTGGTTCTCCAGGCTCTTCTGCCTTTTAACTGCGTAGTCATAGTTGTCTGGTAGTTCTTCCGGAGATCGCTTCCAGGGTAAGCGAACCTCATAAGAGCCATCTGGTAGTTGAGTAACACTCTTCTGCATGGATTCAGTTTCTTTCTCGTCATCAGAGAAGCATTTACATTTCCTGGGCTCCAAACCAGCTGTCTCGAGTCCAATGAACTCCTCCAGGGATCCTGAAGCAGCTACACTGACGTAGTTGAGGAGTGGTGCTGCATTAGCTGCTGGGCCTCCTTGAACAAACCAACCTAGAGGACATTTAACCACAACTGGCTCATCTGGTCTGCTCCCCCTGATGTACTGTTCCCATACCATAAGGTGAGTATTGTCCACTCCAAGCAGCAGATCAATGACTGGTGATGGGGCCACATCTATCTCTACACCTGTCAAGTGGTCATAGGACTGTAGATGCTCAGGGAAAATGACAGGTGTATTCCCGCATGGCTTATCTATCTCAGTAGCTGTCAACGGATAAGACCAACTCCTTTGTAAATCCTCAATCTCACAATCAAGGACTCTCAGCTTCCGCTTGATATTACTGCCGCCAACAAGGCTAAGGTCATGATCCTGGAAAAGATCACCCTCCATTCTGGGAAAGATTCCTGTTCTCACGAGTGTGGCCTGACTGCCTCCATCCAACAGAATGCGTACTAGGTGTCGTTTGCTGCCACATCGTAGATATCCCATCACGGTAGGTAAGGTAGCTTGCAGTTTCCCTACATGGTTGATTGCAGAAGCCTGTATGGCACTGTTAGACTGAGTGGGCCTCACAGAGTCTGCCTGGTTAGCATAGCCACTTCTCTGATCCTTATCTCTGGCATCACCATGGGCTTTGGGACAGATGGCAGGAAAGTGCTCGTCACTACCACATGTCTGGAATCGGCATGGTGCCCTGAACTGGCACTTGTTGCGGTCATGAGGGGGTTTCCCTGCAATACAGTCGTTATGACCACAACGGAAACATACACCATTTGCTTTCATGACTTCATACTTCTCCTTGAGTGTTAGGGCTTTGAACTTGTTGCAGATCTTGAGGTAATGAGAGGAGTTCTTAGGATGTAGAGCACATTTCTGGATATCACGAGCATATGAAGGAGCCTCTCTGGAGTCCCAAGACACGGCTGCAGTCAAGGACTTAGAAACTCTTTTTGGTTCCATACTATCTGCGATGGTGGCTTTGGACTTCTCCATGAGAATTTGCTGCCGAAACAGCCACTTGCTTAATCCCGAAATGGAGTCCTCTACATTCTCATCCCGAACACTTTTGTAGTAGTCCATTCTGTGTTTCTCCGGGAGTTTTAGTTTTATTTGACTAAGCTTGATTCTGCTGTTTAGCTCTCCAGCCAGGCCGATGGTCTCAGCCTGGCACTCAAAGTTCTGAAGTACCTGGATGAATCGCGCCATAGCTGGAAGATTCACCTTTCCTTTATACTCGTATGGCTTGAAACCATCCAAATCTTGTAGCAAACTGTCCACCACTCGGTCCTTGTCATCAAAGCGTTCATCCAGCATCTCATATCCCATGCCCTCGCTACGCTTGAACAGCTTTTGACCAAGTTTCTCTCCCTTTGAGACACCATTGACTCCGCTAACTGGAAAAAACACTCAATTTCTGACAATTCCCTTGTGCAGTTTTGGAACATTTCCTTGTATCTCCGGTAATCTTTGATGTCACCATTAAATGATGGTAGTTTCAGTCTCGCCATCCTAGGGGCACAGGCACCTGCATATTGATTCTGAAAGGAGGTGCGGAGAGGAGAGCTTGGGAGTGTCACGTTCTGCTGTTGCTCGGGTGTCTGCTGTACTGATGGTGGCGACAACTGCTTGCTGAGAACTCTCCTACCAGCATTCAACTTCTGGACAAAGTCTGTCTCGCAGTTGGTCATCCAGACTTCCTCAGCCTCAAATTCCTCGTCATTCTCTATGCCTGTACAAGCTCTGCATGCTTCCCTTCCACCTTTACAAACTGTTCTTCAGCCTTGCTGATGTACTGCTTTAGAAGACTAAGGTCTGCAGATTCATCGGAGAGATTGACAATGGATGTTAATGTCCTCGTCAATTGTCCCTTCAGATTTCTCCTCACCAGCTTTAGAGTCTTCATGTCAGTCATCTTCAGTTGATAGTTATACAGCCTGCTTGTTGAAGAATGTTATAAGACCGTGTCTAAACTTCCACGTTGTTATAATAACCACACAGGAGGCGTGACTTGAATTAGCTTCCCTTTAATAGTTGTGGCGCTGTAAAGCACATTCAACAATCGTGTGAATCCTTCAGTTTTTGCATATAAATGAAGAAAAAACTAGGATATCAACCAACATGGTTGATGTACCTTCGTACGGTCTTGTTTTGCGCTGTAGCGAAAGTGCTGATAGTCTCAGTTCAGGTAAAAAGGGTAATTATTCTGCCGCGTAACAAATACGGGAAAAAATAATGTCATGCCTTGACAATAGCTTTAACATAAATCGTGAGGAAATCGAATAGCAGGCAGTATATTTAGTTCTTAGTATTTCTACATGTGGTTCATTTAGTAATAACTCTGGCAGAGAAATCTAAAAAGGTATTTTTTCGATTATTTGAATCATTTGGGGAGCATCTCCCGAATATGAAGATAGCTGTTCGTTTATTTAATTCTCTTGTTGAACCTGTCAGCTTATTTGGTTCAGAAGTATGGGGTGCTTTTGTAGTGAATGTTGAGAAATTGGTAAAGATTGAAAAGGGGAATTCGAAAATGTTTTATATCTTTATGTGGAAAAATGTGAAAACTTTGTACAAGTGATAAAACACAAGAACTGCTGTGTTTTTTTTTGTTTAATTATCTGTAGCAAAATGTAAATATACCTTGTGACGATGTTATTTCAATCAATTCAAATTCAATCTACAATTCCACCTACACACAAACTCTCTCTCTATATATTTACTAATCCTGGCCCAACATCTATCAAATTAATCTCTTCATCGCTCATCTGCCCTCATGACATCTTTCAGTATTTTCCCCTTCCTTTCCACTCTTTCCAGAATATTAAATAAAACATTATGTTCTGTCTCCCTCTATCTCTACTTCTCTCACACACACACACACACACTCACGCACACCCACATAATTTTTTCAATCTTCGCCCAACATCTATTCATCGCTCATCCCCCCTCGTTTCATCCTTCAATATTTCTCCCTTCCTTTCCACTCTTTCTGGAACAGCACATAAATCTTTCTCTCTCTCTCTCTCTCTCTCTCTCGCCTTCTTCCATCCAGTCTCTACATACACCACTATTCATTGCCTATCTCCATATCTCTTCTCTTCAATTTCTCTATCTTCTTACCAAGATTTTTTACCTCTCTCTCTCTCATCCTACATCTCTTAAAGCTATGGTCACAAATCAGAGCAGCGACCGACCGATCAGTAGCCTGCTCGGTCGCTGCTCTAATTAGGCATCGCCCAGCGATTAGGTCGGTGCCCGGCCGGCGACCGCCCAGGCACCGAGCGTATTTTGGGCGGCGAGTGAAAAGTGAGCAGGCGCCGCCCAAATTTTAACTCCGCGCTAAAACTTCAGCGGCGACCGAGCGATGCCCTAAAAACGAGCGGTGCCTGGGCGGCCGCCGCTCGGTGGCCGGGCAGCCGCCGGGCAGAATTGGTTAAAAATTCGCCGCTCGGCCGCCGAGCAGTCTACTTTTGGGTAATGTGACCATAGCATAAGTTACTATGCAGCAGTCATTTTACAATGAAATCATTCGTGTATGACGCTTCAATTACAACTAACACAAAATAAATAACAACCATATTAACAACACGGGTTACAACAACATCATTATTAATGCTGTAGTCAAACGTTTAACCGCCCGGTATCCGACCATCCATGGCTCTATCCGTTTTCAATTGGACGGTTTTGTTTTCCCATTTTTTAAAATATTTGTTTTAAAGTTTCGATTAATGCCCCTCTACCTGGCACTATATGCCTGGCAATGTCTCCTAGCTCAGTACTCGGTGTGTTGACTCACCACTCGGAAACTAGAACAACACTCCAATTTGTCTGTCATCTTGGTTTGAAAGTAATCTTTCTAAATAGATCTCAATATGTTGTTTACAATAATAATTCCTCCAATGTTTCTTCTATTACACATGGCGTACCACAAGGTTCTATCCTAGGTCCTCTACTGTTTTAAATTTACATTAATGATCTTACACATTCTTCTAAAAACGACACTGTTACTATTATTTGTGACAAGTTCACAAGCACAAATCAGCGCCTTCAACTGCATCTCGCAGTTTAAAAAAATAAGAAAACGAAGTAATTTTAAAGGCAATAATAGCAATAATAACAACAAAAACAATAATAAACATGATTGAACAACTTTCGACAAAAATCAACTCAAGGGCAATTTCAATAACCCATTGTACGTCCCATAGAATTCATATTCGGATTACTATCAAATGTTTCATTTCAAAAGGCGACGTACAAGGTAATGAAATTGTCTTTTAGCATGATTTTCCGAAAGCAATTGCGATCGTGTTAATAATAATAACAATAATAATAGTAATAATCATAATAATAATAATAATTATAATAATTATAATAATTATAATAATTATAATAATAATAATATAGTAAACAATAATAATACAAACAATAATAACGACGCATATGTTTGCGCTCCTGGGTTTGAATGCATGTTTGAAATGGTATATTGTGTCTAGGCTAGGCCTACTCGTTATTGTAAATTAGCATGATTGTTCATGTCTACTGCCTCGCTCGGATGACCACAATATCCTAAAGTGACAAACGTGACTTTCACTATGGTAACAAATTAATTCACTTGCTGTTTCCGCCTATTATTATTGTTACGTCCTTCACCATTGCAATCAATTCAGTTTTATTTAGGGGAACCTATAATCTACAAGCTAATGTTTATAATAGCTTTCTCACATTTCACCCTGTATAACCTATCATTTAATACAATTAATTTCGACGTCTTTACAAAAACTTGATTATCTAATGTCTTAAGTATATTTCATATTATGTTCTAATCTGTCATTAATGTGAAATTCTGTTATGTGGAATGGAAAACAAATAAACTTTAAAACTTAAAAAACCCAATAATAATAATAATGATAATAATAACAATAATAATAATAACAATAACAATAATAATAATAATAATAATAATAAGAATAATAAGAATAATATAATCAAATAAAATGTTCGCGAGAACATCGCACTTCAAGAACAATATAATACTCAAGATTAAACCATGTAAACTTTAAACTAAATTAGATAAGGCACTAGCTCACAAAAAAAAAATTAACTAAATCTTCAACAATCATTGTTCAAATAATGGTCATGATTTCAAAGTCGTTATCTTTCTTACCTGTTTCATGTCAATTTTCTTATCTTTTGTTGAGTATTTTTCCTAAAAACCGAAACATTATAAAGTGTATTTTACAATGTCTTCGTTTTAGGAAAAAAATACCCAAAAAAGATTTAAAAATTGACACGAAACACGTAAGACACTTTGAAATCATGACTATTATTTGAACAATTATTGTTGAAGCTTTAGTTGATTTTTGGTATGTTTTACTTTTAGTATATTAGGGTACTCTCCAATCCCAAGTCACGGGTCCATAGTAGGTGCACACTGTCTTAAATAAACCACTTTTCAGTTATAAAGCTTGGAATGCACAAAATCTTTTTCTTTACATCTAGAGCTTCCAGACCAAAAGTAAAAAGGCGTATAGGAGGAATCACTAGATGGTGTGTATTCTGTTTAACCAGGGAGATGTGATCTCCCTGGTTAAACTTCAACACGGAACGTAATTATGTCGGACCATCTTGAATCTTTTCCAGAGAAACGCGTTATGGCTTGTCTTTTTGTTTAAACTGTTGGTAGTCCTCCAATCACTAGTTTTACTGATGTTCATTCTGTTCTTATACAGTCCATATGTCGGCTCCGAAGTATTTTTACAAAATGTAGTCAAATTCGGCGTTTAAGTTCAGGAATATAAATTATTCTGCAACACTGGCGGTCACATCAGTATATCCTTACCCTTATCAGGAAACGAAGAATGATATTATGGCAAGAGGTTCCAAATGTTTTGTTTTCACCAAGCTACACAACGATGTCACGGTCTTCCCTTGTCCAACATATAAGCGATTTTGCAAGGAATTGAAAGTCTGCATGTCTATTCGAAATGGAGCAAGCGTACTATCGATTTACCTCTGCTGACGAATCTATGTGACGATACTTCTGCTCCCGAGTAATGAATATTATCCCGCCAAACTGCGGTATTTATACGGATTCTGAGGATCCAAATATCAATTCAATAAATTAGCAAATATACGCCCAAACTTTACTGCCATTGGTCAAAACAGCCAGCCCATGAATTACGATTGTTTTATTTTTGGCACAATTACGAATTCTCGGGGAAAAATTGTAAATAGTTTGGGGAATACCAGATAATTATAGGGGGGGGGGTCTGATAATTAGATAATGCTTTTCTAGATTGTTTGGGAGTGCGGAATCACTGTGGGGACAACAAGTGAACTGAATTTATGCTAAAAGAACTAATAAGTATTGGGGAAATGTCTGCTATTGTGCATAATATTCAAACTTCACAGCAGACAGAAGCCACAAAGTGTTGATTTTGGTCCTCCAAAAAAACTAGCGTCGATTTGGTAAAAGGGTAAAGTGCTCATTTTTAATCAGATCTTTTATCACAAGGAGATCATGAAGATATACAGTGTGAGCTTAAACAAAGTTTACACCTAGAAAATTGCTAATTTTTCAACAAACATCTATGAACAGTAAATATTTATACATCTTATGAAAAAAATTGTTTTACTAAATCATTGGTATCATTTGGTATTTGTTCACGATTGGATAAACAGGAGACAG